GTTAAATAAAAAATTCTAACAAAGAAATATTTATAATTTGCAAATCACAAAAAATAATCTGTATTTTAAACAAATCTCAAACAATATATTTATAATTTACCCTTTTTATTATATATTTTAGTCACATAGCAAACCCAATCCAAATTTGATGTACTACTAAAATTGAACTTGGTTGACCTCTTAACTTCAGATCTATCTATATAAGTGCACCAGCAACGTTGAATCAAAAAATTTACCAAATTTTAATAAAAATTTGATGAAAAATTTAATTTGATATCATTTATTCTAATACTATAATTAGAATTATCAAATTTTTTCATATTTTTGGTTGTTGAAGAGAACATCGAAGCAGATGTCTTGGAGATCGTCCGGACAAAAACAAAAAAGACTATCAGAGTTGCTCTTGGGTGAATTTTTGAATTGAAAAGATGTCCGATCCAACGAAAACAATTTAAATTTAATCAAAGATAAAAAAAAAACTCACTTTATTTGTTAAAAATTTTATTTCATCCCTTATTTGATATGTATTTAATAAAAAATTTATAAATTAAATAGTTATCGTTTTTTATCACATTTAAATTTAATAAAATATGCGTTTGCAAATGGTCTAAAACAGGGAGAAACCATGATGAATTATTTTCCCTTTTTTCACCGACTTTTACAACACAGAACCAGGGTCCTTCGCCGTCAATTCTCTCTCTCTCTCTCTCACTCTATTCATTTATACTTTTCGGATTCTCACCTACCATTCTTCATCCTTTTGCATCTCCTCCCCCTCTCTCTCTCTCTCTCTCTCTCTCTCTCTCTAAAACTATATATCTTGCTATGTTTGATTTTGGGGACGAACTCATAATTGGAAGTCAGAGAATACCATGGCTCATATGGATCCAACTTCTTGTGATGCTCCTCCTCATCATTTTCCTCTATTACTTCACCATCATCGCTTTAGGACTAGATCCCTCTCCCACCTCCGCCGCAGCTCCGCTCTCCTCCGCTCTCCTCGTCTCCAATAACGGATCCTTTACTCTCCGACCGCCGCCCAGCGCCGCCGCCGCCAGTTCAAGCCGATTACACAATTCCAAGGTGTGTTATCACTTACCCATTTCTCTCCATGTCTTCTTGTTTTCTGGGTTGGTCTTTTTTTCCCTTGGTTTCTTCCATCTGTGCTGTTTGGTTTTTTAGTTTAATTTATCTTTTTTCTTGTTTTATGTTTTTTTTTTTTTTTCATATTTTAAGCATCAATTGATATGTGAGAAGGGTTACAATAATAAGATAGCCACATGAGATTTGTTGTCCAAAACTTATGTTATGTTTCAAAATATTCATAACTATTAAATTATTCTTTATGATTACTTATTTTGAGATTCTCATACAATTTTAAATTATTCTTTATGATTACTTATTTTGAGATTCTCATACAATTTTAAATTATTCTTTATGATTACTTATTTTGAGATTCTCATACAATTTTAAATTATTCTTTATGATTACTTATTTTGAGATTCTCATACAATTTTAAATTATTCTTTATGATTACTTATTTTGAGATTCTCATACAATTTAATAGTGGTGAATATTTATATAAAAAAAGGGAAAAATTATCTTTTACATCAAAATTAAAGATGGCTTCCTTAAAACATTTTTCATAAAAACAATTATGATTGCTTGAAGTGAGAGTGGTTACGGTTGGGAAGAGATATTTCTTAATATTAATTATTTATTATTATATATTCGTTTGGAAAGTTAGATTAGTTTTTTGACTTTTTAATTTTTTTTGACTATTTTTTAAAAATTTCATTTGGATTGATTTTTTAAATTTTTATGGGAGAAAAAATAAAAAATTATAATTGAGATGTGACACTTAAATTTTATTAATTTTTTAGTTTTAGTTTTTTTTTTTTTTTTTTTTTTTGGGAATAATTTTGTGATCCAATCATGTGGTTACCATCAATTTGTTTTTTTACAATAATAATTTCTTAGTAAGCCTTACAAAATGAACTATTTGGATAATCGAAGTGGACCCAACGTGGGGCCCACAGTGAGCCAACAACACCCTCTAGTCTAAATGAGCCAATGACACCCTTCAATCCAAATAATGGACTAGAAAGAAGCTAAGTCTCTTTAATTAAAGGTAGTTTATCGTTTAATAAAGCTCTAGTGCATCCAGGACATGAAAAGTAACTTGCTTTGAATTCAACTTTTCTTTTTTCCCCTTATTTTTAAACATCCAACTGATGTTTTTCTCCTTGATAGTGGTTTCAAAAAGAAGGAAGTTGATATTGATTCTCGGAACAGGTAATATTCATTTTTTTATCAATATTTATATGCTTGAGTATTTTTAGCTAATTTTTTGGTGTTACCACGTTAGCTTAATTTTTCTCGTTTTGCAACTCCTTCAGTTGTTGCTGGAATTGTGATTATAGTAATCCTATTGTTCTACATCATAAGGAAACTCGCACAAAATGATCAATCCACATTCTTTTGGAAGAATAAAACAGAGAGCTACCAAAATGTTGAGGCCTTTCTAAAGAATTATGGATATCTTGCTCCAAAAAGGTACACTTATTCTCATATCAAGAAAATGACCAACTCCTTCAGAGTTAAACTAGGTCAAGGAGGCTATGGTTGTGTCTTCAAAGGAAAGCTAGACAATGGATGCCTTGTGGCAGTGAAGGTTCTAAAAGGGTTGAAAGGCAGCGGAGAAGAGTTCATTAACGAGGTTGCAACCATTAGTAGGACTTCTCATGTTAATATTGTGACTCTTATGGGGTTTTGTTTTGAGGGTCGAAACAGAGCTCTCATATATGAGTTCATGCCTAATGGATCCCTTGAGAAATTCATTCATGATGGGAATTCCTTGACATATCACCAATTAGGGTGGGAAGCTTTGTACCAAATTGCAGTTGGTATTGCTCGAGGATTAGAATACTTGCACCGTGGTTGCAACATGCAAATTTTGCATTTTGACATAAAACCTCATAATATTCTTTTAGATGAGGACTTTTGCCCAAAGATCTCTGACTTTGGCCTCGCTAAATTATGCCCACGGAAAGAGAGTATTGTATCACTATTGGGTGCCAGAGGAACAGCCGGCTATATTGCCCCAGAAGTGTTTTGTAGAAACTTTGGGGGAGTTTCACACAAGTCAGATGTCTATAGTTACGGAATGATGGTTCTAGAAATGGTTGGAGGAAGAAAGAATATTGATGTCGAAGTTGATCGTACTAGTGAGATATACTTTCCACATTGGATATACAAGCGACTTGAGCTAGATGAAGAACTTGGAGTGCATGGCATTATGAATGATGAGGCAAATGAAAGTGCAAGGAAGATGATTATAGTTGGCTTGTGGTGTATACAAACAGATCCCTTGCATCGACCATCAATAAACAAGGTGGTGGAGATGCTAGAAGGCAGCATGGAGTCCTTGCAAGTCCCTCCTAAGCCTTACTTATCTTCTCCCCCAAGATCAACTCCAGATTCTTCAACTACATTCGTGCCTTAACATTGTACTATTCACAATGCATACTTCTATTGCTAAGGTAATGCACTATTGAAAATTAGATAAATTGAGTCTTTTTTTTTTTCCCTCTCTCTCTCTCTTTTTAATGTTTGTGATTGCTGCAATTCAAATTTTCCTAACACTATTTCTGGTTGGGAGTTTTGGGAAGGGATTAGAAAAGGAAAAGAAAAAAGGTGTGTAAATGAAATATAGGTATATTTTATTCACGTTTTACCTACTTTTTACTTATTCCTTTCCAAATCTCTCAACCAAATACAATGTAAAGGTTTAAACTAGTTACATTCAATATGGTATCTCATTATCTTATATGAATTTAAAAAAACAAAACAAAAAAAAAAGTATTGTGAACCTCTACAAATTATACAAGTATGCCTGTTTCATAGTAGAATTAACCAAGATTTAGAAAGTAGTCTAGAACAAAAGTACCAGATGTTTTGTCAATTTGATAAAAGCTCTCACTTGGACTTATAGAACACCCTATTTTATAGCCAAATTTGTACGTTATTTGCATTTTCCATATATTCTAGAGTATGCCTGATTACTCAGTTGATAGACTTTACCTAATGACTCAATTGATAGAACTTTAATGAATTCCAATAAATTTGGAACTTTTGAGACCCCAAAAATATTTTTGCCTCAGTCAAGCCCAGTACCAATGGTTGAGTTGAGGAAGGCGAATGTGATCACTCATTAGTCCATTTGCACTAGGAAAATACTATTCTTATAGAATTTTTATACATAATTTTCACCAGTGAGTGGCATTTTGGTAATTAAGGGTTTGTTTGGGAAGTGTTAAATTAATATACTTTTTGATTTTTTACGAAAAAATGTGAAATGTGGGTTAAAGTTGAAGTGATGTAGTAGAGAGGTGATCTGACCCAAATAAGAAGTAATGTGACTCAAATAAGATGGTTGTGACCCAAATAAGATAATTTGCTAAAATAGTACATGCAAAACAAAGCCTAAATATTATTTTAAAGAGCACTATATTTTTAAGTGATAAAACCATCATTTTGTATGCAAATTATGAATACTTTTCTGTTTTCATTAATCTTTTGCAGCACGTTTAATTTGTTGGTGTACTCAATGTACTGCTTCCAACGATGGTTGCAAAAATAGGTTTGGGAATGTGATGTCGAATGTCACAAAAGACGTCAATAAAACCTTCAGTAACAAATTAATTTTGAGAAAGATGGTGTAATTATGTCTGACAGAATCGTATGACAATTTATGGCTTGAAAGTTTGTGGAATTGTAAAATATGGTGAATTATGTTTATGCAAATTAGGGTTACGGAACTACTTGAATTCATTCTTGTTTAGAATGGGGGATACGCAACAAAATAAGAACTTGGAAAATTTGATACTGATTAGCTGGTTGTAAAGTACATATGGTAAATGAGTAACATATTTGGTGAAATTTCTGCTTCATATAAAAAAACTGAGGGCCTCATTTTTATAATTTTGTATCCCGTAGCGTTTAAATATTGGATTTGAGGAGTAATTTGTCGAGAAAAAAGAAAAGCATTAAAGTATAAACTAAATATTTGTTATTTTCTTTCTTTTTCCTCTGCAATTCTCTGCACAAATTCAAGATTCAAATACAACTTTAATATTATGTTAGCAATTTACTACAAGTTCTGAACATAAAATTATCTAAATAGTTCTAGTTTGTATCTTCTTCTTTGGATGGAAACCATATAAATGTTTAATTAGATTAAAAAACCATTGAATTACAATGGTGGGACGTTTTGAAGAAGAACATAATCCAGGATTACTGATGGCAAAGGTCATCATTTTTTTCTTGCCAGGTTTTTTTAGTGCTCGTTTAGGAATTTGGCTTTTTTAGTGGCATTTTGATTTTTTTTTCTTTTCTATGAGGTAAAAAAAATTAATGTGTTTGGAATGATTTTTTTGATTAAATAAATAGTTATGAGGAAAAAAATTAATTAATTGATAGGTACGCATGATGTGACTTTTTGCTAATGGGGTTGAATTTGTTAAATTTTTTGCTTTTTTTACCAAAAAAGTCTCTTGGCAAACCGGACCTAAAATTCGAAAATTTGCAATACCTTCTTGACCATAATTTTGTACGAGCTAGAGTCCTACTTAAAATTATTGCTAGTTAAAGTCTCTAAATTTTTAAAAATTTTAAGAGTAAGTTTACTTTTCACATGTTTTAGAGCTCACTGTTAGCAACATCTTCACTGAAGTATCAACAAAAATGGAGGCTTAATCCTTCTAGCGACCTGTTTGGAGTGTTGGCACATACTATAGAGATGCAAAAACCTAAGGGTATGGATTGTTTATCATTTTCTAGGATTCTTCATGAAAAACATCACATATGAGGACATGGTTAATTACTTTTGTCTCATTAGAATCATACATCTCAACACCATGATTATTTACCAGGTTAAGTTACTTTTTTAACTCATTAGAATCCTAATCTTCATTAGTTTTCCACTTTCATGTATGTTAATTACTACTTTTTTTTTTTTGGCTTCTTCTTGTTGCCCATTTACTTTTTGCTTTGTTTATTTTATTTTATTTTTAAATCAATGTTAATTTGGGGTGATGTTGGTTTGCTGTTGGTGCTCAATTATTGTGCTTTGGTGGTAATGATTGGTGGCAGTGGTGTTTTTCAATTCTCAAATTTGTAGTTTTTAACCCATAAATTTTAAAATTTCTCTATTAAAAAATAGAATTGTAACAACATTTATTCCTGTTATAATAGTGAAATTTCAATGGCTTTAATCAGAGAATTTCACTAACTTTTTGCTTTTGCCTTTGCAAAGTAAAATGACAAAGTTATATTTTATATAATAAGTGGTTTTACGTAATTTTGTAAAATTAATTCTAATAAATTAATATAATTATACTATTGCACAAATAAATACTTTGTATCTTACATCTCTAATCCAATCTAATACCACGACATCAGTAATATCATTACTCAATCTCACTGTACTCTTAATTGCTCTTGGCTTAATCTAATAGTCAAACATGATCTTACGAGAATGCTAATCCCATACAATTTTTCATAACTAAACTTAATTTATAAAGAAAGATAAATTATATCATTAGTTCTCGTAGTTTAAACAAAGTGTCACTTTAGTTCCCGTAATTTTTTTATATATACACAATTAGTTAGGACCCACTTAGACAGATCAACCTATAGCAACCTCCGGTCGAGTGAGATTGAGGCTCACTACCACTAGTAGTCCAAGATAAGAACCCTCTATAAAAAGCTAAGATATAGACAAAAAACCCTATACTTTTCATCTCTACTCTCTCTAGCAAAGATATGAAAGAGTCTTTGGCTGGTATCACAACGGTACCCCCAAAGACTTATGTTATCTTCTGTGGCAGGTTATCAAATCGGATCGAAACCATACAAATATGAGTTTCATCAATTTCAATTTACACCATAAACTTTCAATAAGCTAGATTAGGGTATGGTTAGGGATGAATTTAACTAATTAGTATTCCTGATTTGCTTGAGGTATTCAAAATTCTTGATAATTTCAATTTCCATGTAAGAATGCTGAGAGAGAATGAGAGTTTTAAGAGTCAATAACGGGTGAAGTTCACATACTGATGGGTCACTGAGGAAGGTGAGTAGGAAACACTTAAGTCCTTGGCCAACCAACCATTGCAGTGATTAGTGAACAAGTCTTCTTATAACAATATATTGCAAAGTAAACTAGCGTGTCAAACGGGGGTAATTTTAAATGCACTCCAAATTAGAGTTGAGTATGAAGATATAAAGTGAAGAGAGTAGGTAGAGAATAGAAGATTGAGTTTGATTATGAATTAAGTGTTTGATTATGAATTAAGTGTCCAAAACACTTTGATTTATATTTTTTTCAATATTAAGTAATTTTTGGTCATTTTAAATGGGGACGAAATAGTAATAAAAAAATATTCATTAAGTTAGTGCTTAACCTAATTTTTGAGGTGCAAATAGAGCCTATCGGCAAGAAGGGGCGATCGCCCCTCTTACGATTTAAAAAACATCATTTATTATAGTGTTATTAACTACAATTATCTATATATTATAGAGACTCGTCCCCCCTAAATTTTTTTATTTAAAAATTTTTTAAGTGGTTTTCACTCTATATCTATAAAACATAGGATCAAATATAACGTAATAGACAAAAATAATAAAAGAAATTAATTTCTTATAACTAGTATTAATTACAAGTCCAAGTTTCTAAAAAATAAAATAAATTATCAGCTAATTCTTAATTGCGTTCATTGATAAAGACATTATACAAGATTTTATTATCATTTCTATCATAGACATTTTTCATCTTACTTTCACTTTTTATACTAGTAGAAATTGATATTATAATTCATATTTTATTTTTAAAAATTTTGTTAGTATATATATGTTTGCCTATGTGAAAATAATCAGTCCGTCCCTGCTCACATAGACCTCCTTCCAAGTAATAGAGAATTTTGTTCTTCTCCCACTGTGTTTGGTTGTTTCATCATCTGTTAAATTGTGAATCTACAATGATTGCTCCCTCCATTTTGGCTTTCTTTGTCCTCTCACACCTACTGTTTATTCACTCTTCTGGTGAAGACAACACCTCATTCCAAAACGGTCTAGAGTCCTTCCAGTGTGGAAAACTTGGGCAGATCAAGTTACCTTACTCCAACATCGCTTGTCCCCATTGTGGGTTGTGCACTGTAAATTGCAGCGAAGCAATTCCAAAACTCAATTTCGGTTTGGACCAACAATGATATGGAGTTCATCGCTTGCTTTCTAATGATGATGATCATATCCTAAATGTTGCCGACAAAAAGTTTGAAAGCCTCATAAAATCCAAAATATTAGACTTATTTATTTTGATAATTTATTTAATTATGTTTTTAGTTTATTTGAAAGAGAAAAACAGAATCAAAATTTATTTTGTCCCATTATTTTTCACCTAAACTTTTATCTTAAATGTTGCTAGAATGTATTTAATATTTGATTAAATTAGGAGTTCAAACAGCCCAGCATAGCAACAATTCAAAAGGTTCAAGTGGAAGATATTCAAATTTGTAATGATGGACTGGAAGATATTCAAATTAGTAATGATGGAGTACAACGGCTATAAATTCAAATGAATACGACGGCTATAATTTTCATTATATATACCAAAGCTTCTAATGTAAACAAGTGACAAAAAAATCTGAAAATATTCTTTGATCTATAATCACTCACATCTATTCTCAGAAATTATATATTGAGCCTTATAACTTTAAGCTCATCTTTCCTGTGTGAGATTTCTAGAAAAATCAAAGCTTCATTCTATATATCTTTCTTTGAGAGATATTTATTGTAAGCTTTCTTTGAAAGCAAAAATACCATTTCATCTGGTAAAAGTGTTGCAAACATTGTGTTCTTGAAATCTTGAGAGTGATTGTAAATCACCTAAGATTTGCAAGGGTTTGGGCTTGTGAAGTCTGTGTAAAATCCGTGGAAGATTGCTCCATTTGTAAAGAGGTTGTTAGCACCCCTGTGAAGCTAGAAGATAGTGGAAAATCTCAAGTGAAGCTTGAGGAGTGGACGTAGGCCGAGTTGAAGCCAAACCATTATAAATTTGTTTGCCTCTCTCTCCCTTATCTCTTTATTTTATTTTAAATTGCCATAGCTATATTTCACATTTTTACTGTGCTAAAATCATTAACTGACATAATTGTTAAGACAATTGTTTTAATTATTTTTATTTCATTAATTATATTTATCTATTGTGCTAGTCATAATTTTTATTAGGGTATATTAATTTTTAATTGTAAAAACCTAATTCACCCCCCCACTTAGGTTGTCTTTTGGGTAACAATTGGTATCAAAGCCTAAACTCTTGTTTTAAATTTAACCATCTAGGACTTTCGATCCATGGCAACCTTAGATGAAGGACAAGCCACAAATAGGCCACCATTGTTTGACGGAAACAACTATAGTCATTAGAAGGATAAGATGACCCTATACCTACAAACCACTGATTATGCCATGTAAATTATGTTCACCAAAGGTCCAAAAATTCCTACAAAATTAGTAGACAATATTAGTGTACCTAAAACTGAAGATGAATATGATGAGAGAGATCATAAATTATTGCAAGCCAATGCTAAAGCCAAACTCACCCTTATTTGTGGATTAGACTCTAAGGAGTATAATAGAATTTCAAGTTGTGATTCGGCAAAAGAAATTTGGGACAAACTTGAGGTAACGTATGAAGATACAAACCAAGTGAAGGCATCTCGTATTGATATGTTTGTTCATAGCTATGAATTGTTTAAAATGAACTCTGATGAATCTATTTTAAGTATGTTTATTAGATTTACTGAAATTGTAAATTCTTTGAAATCAC